CCTCTCTTCGCATTAGGTGACCAAAGTATCTGAGCGTGAGCTTAATTATCAATCCTTATCAGGTCCTACAAGAATTCTATTTGGAACATTAGACTCCACTGCCTTTGGGCCTGTTATCAAGCTTTTACTACTATGTCTAACAGTGGTTATTAAACTGGGGCTAAAGGGGCAATTCGTAATTGCTTGTTTGTGGGTCAAGGATTCCGTTTGAGACCACCACTGTCCAGATGCGTGTGTAAAACAAGAGAGTTAATGAATGTGTGTGGGGGGGGAGTAGTGACACCATCGAGATTGACAGTATTACTGGAGGAATCTGAAACTGGCAGCTGGTCTAAATAAAGATGAGCGCGACTCGGAACTCCCCCAGAAATTATGGAACTACCATTCTTTAAGTCACGTCTGCTGCTCTGCGCTAGGAATTATGGGGATTGTATCCGATCACACCCCCTGGGTCGCTCATCCCGCATGCGCATATTGGTCCCTTAAAAAAACGCCCCGGAAGTGGCGTAAATAGCGCGCCGGCTCTTGTTGTCATCAGTTCGTGTAGCCGCACGTGGGTGAGAGATGGATGTTCCTTCGGCCTCGTTGGTAGACGGCGACTCCGGCCTTTCGGGATCGATAGTGGCGGAGCAGTTGCAGACGCTGAGGGTCGCCTGCGAGGGAAGCCCCAGTGCAGCCCCAGCGTGCCCGCAGGGAGCCGCTTTGAAGGACGACGATCGAGTCCCGCTTTCCCCAGAGCGCCTTTGTGGAGAAGCCCCCGCGAACCGCTCGGAGCTTCCACAGGAGCAGCCAGGGCCTCCTTGGGTCGCCCTGAAGGGAGGCGGTGTGGAAGGAGATGCTCCTCAGCCTGGCCCTGCCGCTGAAGAGAAGCCGGCTTCTCCTGGGGATGGCAACGGCCAGACGTCTCCCGAAACGGGAGGGGAGCAGACTTGCTCGCCCGACGAACACCTCCAGGCTGCGGAGGCTTTATCGGAAAGAGAAAAAGAGCACCGGCCGCCCGAGGAAGTGAAGGCGGGCCATCAGCCGTCGCCCTCCGCTCTTCTCGGTAGTAACAGCGAACTTAAGAACGGAGGACTGAATCGCCAAACGGCGCCGGTCCGTCCCGAAGAGCAAGATGGGCTCTCGAAGGGGAATCCGGCGGCACCAGGGAGTGAGAGGGGCTCGTTGGCAGTGGAAAGTTGCGGTGGCTTGAACTCGAGCTCTGAGCCGGAAAGGTGGGTCGGGGGCGTACCCGTTTTGCATATTCTTCAGAGTTTATTTCTTCCCATCCTAAGTCTTGCTTAGGCAGAGGAAGTTAGGTGGTGTACATATCTATAGTTATGTCAGCCAGCCTAGGTAAGTAATAAGGGAAATAATGCATTAATATTCAGACTTGCCCTTTTTAAAGCTTTGAGACCAAAGATGTAACACAGCTTTAAAAATTACAGTTAACAAAGACATATAAACTCTGTCCTTTTCTAGTTCTGCAATAATTGGTCATACAAAATGGAGGGCTTTTTTTCCCCCTTAATAGCTATCACACAACATTCAGCACTCCTGACACAATTCCTCCACACCTGTTGTAACTTATTACTAAAGAGGAGATTTCAGTCAAAGTCTGACCTTGTGATCATTGCCGATGCTTTTTAAAATGAATGTGGCAGGACATATACTGAAAAATAATATCTCACTTTGCAGTGATACTGATGCAGACAGTTCATCTTCTCTTTCCTCCTGCTCTCCAATGCTGTCTGAGGATGATGATAAACAAGATAAAAATGAAAATAATTCTTATGCTACTAGAAAAAAAAGTGAGTTGTCTAAAGTAAGTATCTTTATTGTTGTTATAGAACACAGTTGGATGTTACCTAGGAAAATGTATGTTCAAGCTACATTTACTAAAATAATATGAGGAGGCAACACAGGAGGGTATTGTGTAAACCAAGGTACTTTATCTCTTGTTTGATAATTCATTTGTATAAAAGTTTATAGCAGAGTCTTTTCCGATCAGTTATTCTTATTCAGAGCTTAGATTACAGCAGGGAAAACAGTTCCAAATAGTCTTAGGGACAGGTATTTGCCAGGCTGAATTGGTGAATGAAAGATTACTAGCACTTTGGAACAAGAGGAAAAACATTAGGTTGGGATTACTCATTCCCCCTCTAAATATCTATTTCTCCCTTGAGCACACTGCTGTTTTGATAAAGTAGAATTACTTGTAGATCAATAATTTTATTTAGTTTCATAAGTTATGGCTATATTACATGTATTTCTTAGTTTGAGGTGAAAATAAATTTCACAGAAAAAAGCTTAACAGTTATTTATTTATTTATTTATTTAACAAGCTTATATAGCCACCCAACTCACACATGGTGACTAGTTTCTCTTTCGGTCATGTACACTTGGCATGGAAGAAAGATGAGCTAAAGAGACACATTTCCTTTCAATCCTTCTATTTGCTTTTTCCCTTTCCCTTGTTATTTTTATCACTTTACAAGTGTTAAACCATGTGATGCACCCATATTAAACAAATGTATCCCAAACAGAAAAAAAGTACTAGATTGCTTAGTTCACTTCAGCTACTCATTATAGCTTTGACTAATTTGCAGAGGATTGAAGTGGTGCAAGAATACAAGAGTTTCTAGTTCTGGAGAACTGAAGAGAACACTGTTCAAGTGCTCTTTTTGTGTATTTGTGGTTATCTTTAGCATAGAGCTTGCCAGCATGCATCATTAATATCAGTAAGGAAATAATTATGGCCTACAATGAATGTTAATTACTTTATTTAGATTGGAAGAAATAGGTACAGGTCTCAGCATGCAAATTAATTTTGAAAATTATTTGTTCAGCAGGAGCCACTTCCTGTTGAAGACATAATGATAATTCTACCTGAATCTGTTGAACTGATGCCTTTTGGAAAGGTTTCCAGCTTCATTGAACATCTAGGTAAGAAGATGTGCAGGGTGTGCATTTTGTGTTCCCTGAAAATAATGTTTTCTCGTCATGTAATTATTTATGGAGTATTTGATTGCTTAATGCAAAACCGGGCAATTTGTGGCCCTCTGTGATTATTTTGCATCACCACAAAAATTTGATTTTCAGTATCATGATTTGACTTGATATTAACTCCCCCTCCCCAAAAAACCTGCAGACCCCCTGTCAGGTCAAAAGATTATGTGCAAAATTCAACAATAGTTCCACCAAACTGACATAGGATCTCATCTGTTTTAAATGCAGTCTGAAAGCTCAACCTCAGCAGGGCACAGGAGCATGTAGAGAATGCTCGTGCACATCAAAGTTTGATAAATCAGTCCAAGCAAAATTAGTACTAGTAGTTTTTGCATTTATGCAATCTCAACAGCATTAACAACATTTGCAGGTGCTCTGCATGCATGTCTTTGCATTACTTGTTTGCAAAATAAAGCACACGGGCCATTTACTATATGAATTTGACCTTTTTCATTGCAAATAGTTATTAATGAACAGCACTAACTTAACAGGCAGGCTGGAAGATGTAAAATATTTTTCTGTCTCCTATGTGCTTAACTGCTGCTTTTCTTTCAAAATTCTATTCCCACATCACCCCTTCTTCTCTGGTCAGTGCTGTACTATACATAATAAATTTGAAAACAAGTAATCTAGTCAATAGCCTTGTATGTATTCATGTTTGCCAATACCTGTGAACTGACTTAGAGGTATATACAAGACAGTGAGATAAGCCTTGTCTTTATTATACATCTAACCATACATTTCCCTCTATAAGCAGAATGCTTGGCAAAATGTAATATATACAGCCAAATACTGCCATTGATCTTACCTACAAATCCATGAGCAAGAGGAAGGTTAATAAAAGAAACAAGAGGGTCCCAAAAGCAGAAACTACATGACTACAGAAAAAGGGATGACATGCTAGAGAAGTGCAGATTGTTTCAAGTTTTAAACATATGTATCAAAAATTGGTTCTGTTTTGAGTGTCCTGACAGTTTTATGGCTGCGATTAGGCTGTTATTTCTGCGGCTATTGACTGTGTTGCTTCAAATTACATATAGTGCAGCATAGACCAAAGAAGAAGGGGTGATGTGGGAACAGAATTTTAAAGTCCCTGATGTTCTCTGAGTTAGTTGTTTTCTTGCAGGCATTTTATTACCCGACTAGGTAACATCTTCAGTGCTCTATTCAGTGAATAGAATTTTGAAAGAAAAGCAGCATTTAAGCACATAAGCCGGGATTAACACCAGGCAAACAAGCAGAAAACAATGCCCTATTCAAGAAACTACCAAGGAGAAAACCATATACCCCCCCCCGCCCCCTCCAAAACTGCCAGGGCAAGCTACTGTAGATAAGGAGGGAGCAAACCCTGCACCCACTCACAATGATGATGGTACCTAGTTGGGTAATGAAACATCTGCAAGCAAACAACCAAGCTCAGAGAGCACCAAGGACTCCACAGTTCAACACTGAACTACATATATTCTCTTCTATTGAAACTCATATAAATGTCCATTCAGACATTGCCCTGTCCACCCCCACCCCACCCCTCCAGCAAATGTGTGACTTAGGCAAGGTTTCTCTAATATTAGTTTATTGCGAGTTGCTGAACAATAATAAAATGTATAAGTCTTTTAAAAAAAAAAGTATTGGAGTCTTAAATTTCAGGGCCAAAAAAGCAGAATTTCTTAATTAAAACCAATGAATTTTATTGTATATCTACAATTTTATTGTATATCTCTAGTAATGGTAAAGTAATACAAAGAGCTAAAAATATTTTAAAGCAGTTCCTTTTGCAATTTGAAATAGAAAAGTTGGGGTTTAAGCAAATCTTGTTCTTCCTTTTTTGAGACTGGGGGTCACTAATTATAAGTTATTTCTCTTTGCAAGTATATACATATAATACAACAGTTTAGAACCTTTATTTTCAATATGCCTATGAGGCTAAGTTGATAATATGAATTAAGCTAGTACACTTTACCCTCTTTTTGGAAGAATTTGGAAAAAAATGCTCAGCTTTAATTTTTTTTTTTTTTTTTAGTAATAATTGAGTCACAGAAGGGACTTCCTCCAGTGAATGAAGACACAGTACTTTTTAAGGAAGATCGTCATTCAGTAGGAAAGGTAAATAAATGTATAATTATTTGGATATATATTTTAGTCCTCTGTCCTTACTGTTCTCGTATGATTTTCTTATTGATTGCTAATGGCTTTTAAGAATGTTATTTTTTAGCAAACATAACTTAAGAGATTCAAGTATTACCAGCATAAAGACATTGTGAGATATATTACAGTAGTAAGTGTCCTTTAGGAAAATATGTTAACTAGTTTGCAAAACGCATGATGTTACGAAAATGTAGGTCAGAAGTTTATTTTTATGATATTGTTGATAGAGCTTATTTAACTCTTCAATAGTGTATTTATTTGTATATTTTATGTCTGAATATGATTTGCCTTTCTCAACCTCCTTGAAAGAACATGAAATACAAATAAATAGAACAATGGGTGTAAAATGTTAACAAAAGAGAGCTAAATGGTTGAGTTGCTTAATCCTAAAACAAAAACTGTGAGCATGCATTTAAAATTAATCTAATTGTTAAATAAAAAAGATGTCATAAGATAAATGCCTATTATAATGTCAGTTAGCAGGAAACAAGATTAGAAATCAATTGGCTATCCTAGGTTGGAATTGCCTTAACTTTTTTTATTCATAATAGTTACCAGTACCTCTTTAAGTCCACAAAATTGTTAAGTTCAAATTCAGGATGATATATTAAAATTCAAGATTATTTTTTAAAAAGAAATCAGTGTACTATTCTTTTAAAGCATGATATTTTAATCAGTTTAACATTTTAACTTGAATTAGGCATTGTTATGTGATTCCAAAATTTGTATTTTCTGTGGCATTCTAAAATTTTCTTACCTGGAAGTTCTGGCTTAAAAATAATACCAAAAACTGCTTTGGTACAGTTATAAGCAGTTAAATTTGAAGCTGTATTTCAGAAGTTGGAAAAACATTTTTATTGTATTGTATTGTACTTCCCACCACCCCCAATAATTTTCCTCCTTAAATGTAGTCCTGTAATTATAGAACTTGTTTTTCTGAAGCAGTAACATTCTTTGTCTTGCAGATCTTTGAGATCTTTGGCCCCGTGTCACATCCTTTTTATGTACTACAGTTTAATAGTCCTGAGCACATTCAGTCTAAAGGTATTAAAATAAAAGATGAAGTATATTTTGCTCCATCTGTTGAAAGCTTCACTCAATATATATTTCCAGAAAAACTGAAACAGTAAGTTTGAACTTTAGATACATATTTAATTTGAAAATGTAAACATTACTGAACTCATGTTAGCGGTGTCTAAAATGTTTAAATGTTTAAATATATCTGGGCAATTGAGGGTTAAGGTTCATATTTCCTCATATGTAAATAGGGTACATTTTCCTTCTGAAAAACTAATTTGTGACATTCTTGCTTTGTTTCACTTAAGGTTTCCTAGTGATAGAGTTATAGAAAGATGCAGTGCTTGTTTTTCTGGAGGTTTTTATTATCATCTTTTAGAATATCCAAAAGTAAACAGTGAGCATAGTTCAGCATTTTAGATACAGGATTTTATTATGAAACAAACAAAACATACATTAAATTTATTTCAGAGAAATGTCTTGTATCGTCTTCCAGAAGGGTTTCTAACCCATTTTGAGATAAAGCAGAAATAGCCCTTTGTCAATTTTTCTTTGATTGTTTTGAAGCATTACTCATATTGTAAGAAAACAGTTTTGTTTATAGCAGCAAGCTAAAATTCTGAGCCTGCTCATATTCAGATGTAGCTGGACCATCCATGAGCAGAGGATTCTCAGTATAGCCTGTTCTTCCCATTGATTGTTTCATGCTTCAAAGAGTAATATATGGAGAAAGGACAAGGGGTCATTGCAAGAAATATGTAGAACCTATTCTGTTTTCTTTCAATACATATCTTCCATTAATGCACAAAGGACTACCTATGTTGTGCTGAAAGAGATGGATAAGACTGAGCCCAGTTTAAATAATGTATATAGATGCTGTACTTAGGTTCAAATTAGCCTTGATAGTCTCAATTAAAATAATTTCTGTTTAGATAATTGGTATTAGGGCTTGTTGATGTATAATGTATAATGTATACAATATACACTTGTTAGAGTGTAATATACGTTTAAGAAATTCTAAAATTATGGCTTCCTTTTTGAAGAATAAATCATAATTTCTCAAGGTTTATAAATGGATCAGAGACTATTTTTGCAGCCTTGTGTATGATTGTAAATGTTATGCAGCTGCATGCTATTGCTTTTGATACATAGTACTTTTAGGAAACTTTGGTTGAACCCATTTTTGATTGAGCTAAAGCATTCCACACTATCTCCCTCCCACTTGCTCTAGAGGCAAGGCTCTAGAAGATTCCTAAAGTGCTTCCTGTGGGAAGGTATAGCACATCTCCAGTTGTACCCGTGGTTTGCTTCTGAGAGCACAAAGGCTTTAGGGCTTATTTCTTCATGCATAGTAGTGCTGTTGGTAAATTTACTTAATATTTGTGTAATACATTCAATATATTTAATGTATACAATTTCAAATTGTTAGAACAGTTTAGCTTCTAAACAACTGAAGGTTCTTTGATAACCTGATTCTGCATTTAGAATTTGGTTATGGGCTAGATTTTCTGCAAAGGCTTGCTAAAGCAGTCTTCCTCAACTTAGTATCCACCATATGTTTCTGAATATAATTTCCATAATCTTTAGTCATACTGACTTGGAATTGTGATTGCTGTTACCACCATAGTTAGAAAAGCACTGGTCTTCCAGTTAAGGAAGGCTGTTCTAGAGGGAGTTTTAAAACTTCCACACATCTGGTAACTTTTTAAAAAGGTTTTGCCATTTTTCCTGTGAAGCAGCATGGCTTAGTTTTATTTTAAAGAAGAAAATACTTTCACATATGGCTAATATTACTATGCATGTGCACACATGGGGATCTTTTTTTTAAAAAAAAAACTTTTATGTTCTAGAGAGAAGGGATCAGATGCATCTTGGAAGAATGATGAAGAGCCACCCGCTGAGGCAAGGACATCCTTTGCATACTGATTTTGCACCTGAATGTCTGTTAGTGGTTCCAATTCAAAATGTACCTCCTTTTTTAAAAGGAATAATATATGCAGAGAACATCACTTAACAAGTAACATTAACTTTGGAAAATGAATTTCTCCTTCTGGAGAATCTTATATTTTATTCCTGAAGTGATAAGTTCAGTTTAGCATCTTTCATTTTAGAGATGGTACAGACAATCCTTCCTGATTGCTTATTGGAAGGATTGATAATGAAGCTCAAGCTCAGATACTTTGGTCACCTAA